AGAGTGGAGCACTGTGACGGCACAACGGAGCACTGGCCCGGGACAACAGAGAGAGAACTGTGGTGGCACAGTGAGAACTGTGATGTGACGGTGGAGATGTGTGCTGGGACACTGAAGTGCTGTGATGATGTGGAGGAGGTTGTGATGATGTGGAGGAGCACCGGGCAGTGGGGCACTGTGGAAGAGCCATGGAGCACTGTGAACACTGTGAGAGGATAATGGACCCGTGCTGTGTGATGGTGGAACACTGGGGTAGACAGTGGAGCCTGTGATGGGATGACAGAGCTTTGTAGCGCTGCGCTGTAACAATGGAGTGCTGCGATGAGGTCATGGAGTGCTGTGATGTAACAGCAGATGCTATTCAGAGCACTTCAGAGCATCACCATTTCACAGTGCAGCAGGTGCTGGGACAGACGGTACTGCAGGAGACAGTGACATGCTTTAACAGGATAACGGAGCACGGTGCTGGAGTAGTGTGGTGGACAGTGGAGCACTGTCATAGGATAATAGAGCACTCTTTTGTCACAAGGGAAACTATGTGATAGGACAATGGAGCACCACGATGGCACAATGGGAGTACTGTTATAAGCAAATGGAGACCTGTTATGGTGTGCACGCACACACACACACACACACACACACACACACACACACACACACACTTTAAACAAACTGAACCTCTGAATCTCCATCTTTATGCTATTCTGTGTAAAGAATGAATTTTAAACTGAGCATGTTAGAAGACACCTTTAATCCCAGAACTTTAGAATAAGAGGTAGGCAGATCTCTGTGAGTTCTAGGCCAGCTTTCTGGCCAACCAGAGCTACATAAGATCCTTTCTCAAAAAACAAAACAAAAAAGTTCTAAGTACTTCATAGACCTACCTACAAACTCTAAAGCTGTAGCATTATTAGAATATTATATCTTTGTAAATTTTATTAGGTAAAAGTTTCTTGGGACTACAAAAGAAGAATAAAAAGAACATACTAAAATATTTAAAAATTATAGATTTCTGTCCTTTAAAATACCATGTTAAGAAAATAAAAATAAAAATGCCAGGTGGTGATGGTGCACCCCTTTAACCGCAGCACTCAAGAGGCAGAGGCAGGCGGGTCTCCACGAGTTGGAGGCCAGCCTGGTCTACAGAGTGAGTTCTAGGACAAAGGAAGGAAGGAAGGAGGAAGGAAGAAAGGAGAAAAGGAAGGAGGAAAGAAGGAAAGAGAAAGTAAAGGAGAAGGAAGGGAAGAGGAAGGGAGGAGGAAGGAAGGGAAGAAAGGAGGACGGAAAGAGGAAAGGAAGGATGGAAGAAGGAGGAAGCTGGGAGCTAGAGGTGGTGGCACACACCTTTAATCCCAGCATTCAGGAAGCAGAAGCAGGTGGATCTCAGAGTTCAAGGCAGCCTGGTCTGTGTAGTGAGTTCCAAGGTAGTGCTATGTAGAAAGACCTTGTCTCAAAAAACCAAAATAAATAAATAAAAATTGAATATACATAGTTGGGGGCAAAATTTGCAAAGCTATAGCAGAGGGCTCATTCTTAAACATAAGGAATCCTTATAACCTAATATTAATAGGAGTACAATTTAAATAGATACCTCAAGAGAGAAAACGAATAACTAAAAAGATTATGAAAATATATCCAATATTACTTCTACTTAGGGACAAATAAAAACCACAATAAAAAATGCTGCATAGCCACGAAAAATGAAAGATGACAATGCCACATGCTGACAAAGATCCAGGACAGCTGGAGCACTTATCCGATGCTAGCAGAAAGAGGTACAGCTACTTTCCAAAACGTTTTGGTAAAGTGTTTCTCTGACAGCACAGTCCTATTTCTAGGTTTCTGCCCTCAAAAGATAAAAATGATGTCTAGGGCTGGCTAAGTGGGTCAAAGTGCTTGTTAGGCAAATTTGATGACTTGAGTTGAATCCCTAGAATCCATGTGAAAAAGCTGAATATGGTGGCACATATCTGTAATGGCAGCATTCACAAAGCAGGATGGTTGTGGAGGCAGAATGGGAAAAATGGGACCAGTTAGCGTGGAGTAGGCAGTTCAGCCAAGAAACAAGAGGCCTCAGAAAAAGGAGGAGAGAACCAGCTCCTGCAAGCTGCCCTCTGACTTAGACACGCGTGATCTGGCAGCTATGTAGCGCCCATAATAACTACAACAGAATGGAAAAACAAATGAAAATGATGTCTATATAGTTACATGGAATATATACTCTTTTGATTCCTAACAGCACATCCTGCTATTGAGGGACTCATAAAATCTGGAATATATTAGAAGTCTAATAACGAGGGAGGAAATCATAAAAACTAAATGTTGTAATTTTACACATTGGAAAATACACAGGATGAGACAGAGAGAAAAAAATTACTTATGTAACACACTTAATTAAACTAAGAGCTTTACAGTACATGAGAAAACTCTAGGCTTCATACTGTGTCCGGAAAGTGAGGAAATTTAGGGCTTGAAAGCTAATATGCAGCTGCCATGCGTGGGGTGCATGGAAGGAGAATGACTGGCCGCAAGGGGCCTTCTTGGCGTCGTAGAAATAGCCTCTAGAGTGCACTGCTGTGTGCCCAACTATATATATGTGATAAACCTTGTTGACATATAATTTTTTTTTACTTTTAAATGCTCAGTTTACTATTTTGAAAATTTCTGTATTACTTTATCATAAAGTCATCGGCTGATGATAAACATATTTTAAAACAAAGCAAAGCGACAGCCCTCAGCTCTATAACTACAGTGAAGCGCTCTAGTAAAGATGTGCGTGTGTCTGCGCTACATCCATGCTGTGGCTCAGAGGCCAGAAGACGAAGTAGGAGTCCCCGGAAGTGGAGCCACAGAGAAGCATGAGAATCAAATACAGGTAAGTGCTGGGAATTAAATCCAAGTCCTCTGGAACAACACCAGTGCTCTCAGCCAGCGAGCCCTCTTTCCAGTCCCTATCTACATACCTTTAAAGCATACATTTCATGTCGTATAACTTATAAATTAACAATTTACACTTAATAACCATTTTACATAGAAACAAAATCCCAGAACTGGGGGACAAAGGGCTGACTCAGTGCTTTAAGTGAGCTTGCAGCGGACCCATGTTCTGTTTCCAGAGCCTATAGCAGGCAGCTCACAACATCGGTAACTCTACTTCCAGGGGACTGAATGTCTCATGGCCTCTGGGAGCACTTACACACTCATGCTCCATATGAGCTCATGCAGGCACACATACATACACGTTAAAAAAACTTAAATGTGCTCTCTCCACGCAAACCAAGCCTGGGGTTGTATACATTTAATCCCAGCACTCCAGAGGCAGAAACAGCTGGTGAGTTCCACACCAGCTTGGTCTACATAGTGAATATTCCAGGCCAGTTGGGGCTCCATAGTGAAACCCTGTGTCAAAACCAAGCAAGCAAGCAAGCAACCAACCAACCAACCAAAAACAAACAAAAAAAAAAAAAAAAAAAAAAAAAAAAAAAAAAAACACAAAAAAAAAAAAAAAAAAAAAAAAAAAAAAAAAAAAAAAAAAAAAAAATCCCTAACAACCTCAGGATTGAGAAGAATCACATTAGTATAAACAAGTACTATAACACTTGTTAAAACTGTAACATACAATAATTTTATCTGGTAGTCACACAGTTCAAGAACTCACAGCACTATCTAAATTTTATGTGAATAAGAGTGAATTTATTCCATTGTGTACCTGTACCACAATTTCTGTATCCATTCCTCAGTTGAGGGGCATCTGGGTTGTTTCCAGATTCTGGCCATTACGAATAAAGCTGCTACAAACATAGCTGAGCAAACGTCCTTGTTGTATACTTGAGCATCTTTTGGATATATGCTCAGGAGTGGTATAGATGGATCTTGAGGTAGCACTATTCATAATTGTCTGAGAAAGTGCCAGATTGATTTCCAAAGTGGTTGTACAAGTTTACATTCCCACCAGCAGTGGAGGAGGGTTCCCCTTTCTCCACAACCTCTCCAGCAGGTGTTGTCACTTGAGTTTTTGATCTTAGTCATCTGATGGGTGTAAGGTGAAATCTCAGGGTCGTTTTGATTTCCATTTCCCTGATGACTAAGGATGTTGAGCATTTCTTTAAATATTTCTCTGCCATTTGATATTCCTCTACAGAGAGTTCTCTGTTTAGCTCTGTTCCCTACTTTTTAAGTGGATTACTTGGTTTGCTGCTTTTCAGCTTCTTTAGTTCTTTATGTATACTGGATATGAGTCCTCTGTCAGATATAGGGTTGGTAAAGATCCTTTCCCAGTCTGTAGACTGTCGTTTTGTTCTGACGACAGTGTCTTTTGCTTTACAGAAGCTTTTCAATTTCATGAGGTCCCATTTATTGATTGTTGCTCTTAGAGCCTGTGCTGTTGGTGTTCTGTTCAGGAAGTTGTCTCCTGTGCCAATGAGGTCAAGGCTCTTCCCCACTTTTTCTTCTAACAGGGTTAGTGTGTCTGGTTTTATGTTGAGGTCTTTGATCCACTTGGACTTTAGTTTTGTGCAGGGTGATAAGTATGGATCTATTTTCATTTTTCTACATGTAGACATCCAGTTAGGCCAGCACCATTTGTTGAAGATGCTATCTTTTTTCCATTGTATGGTTTTGGCATCTTTGTCAAAAATCAGGTGTCCATAAGTGTGTGGGTTTATGTCAGGGTCTTCTATTTGATTCCATTGATCCACCATTCTTTAAACTCGAGAAGAGAAAAGATGATGCCTCAACTTTAAAAAGATCGTTTCAGGAATCATGTAGTGAAACCAAAGCTAATCGGAGAGCTGAGTGTGCATCCCTCACATAAGAAGGTCTAAATGTGGGACTATATAAAGCTGTGTCCCCCCCGAGTCTCTTTTCAAGATAGTTTGGTTTTCCCATAATAATTCTGAAATGACAGTGACATCTTGTTGTATACCACTAACCTACTGGATTAATTAAAACCCATTGAAAACTTTATGAAGACAAATATATAACAGCTCAACAAGGAGTACCTTGGCAATGGCAGTCTGTTTGAACATGGACGTTATCAACCCTAGAGCAGTCTCCATGGCACCTGAATCGGGACCTCTCATTAATTTTTGCCATTCTTCAAAGCTGGCATTCAGTTCCTATGTGGGAAGGAATGACATTGTTTAAGAATACAGCATCACGAACAAAACAATTACTCCAGTCATGAATCAGGTCCTACTTTCCCCTTCTCTGTTTAGAAAGATATAAAAAGAAAATTCTCATAGATACCAACGTGTTCATTTAAAACACCAATGAAGAGACTGGTCACATGTCTGTGCCAATGACAAAAGCCTGTAAGGAGCTTTGTCATACTGTAAGTCAAACAATTGAAGCTTCCTCTTGAAAAAAAGCGTATAAAGCAAAAAACAAAAACAAAAACAAAAAACAAGTTACATAAAATGTAATATCATAAATTATTTTATTTTTCTCTCTAACGCTAAAATAACACATATAGAAAATAAGACCTTATTTGAGAAATAATGTAGTACCCAATGTTTACAAGATACTTATTTAACTTCTAAGATTTAACAGTGAAAACTTGTCCACTCAGTCATGTCCAGATAGAAAGAAGTTTCAGAGACTATACAGGCTCTGTATGTAAATACAGATAAGAATCAGGGAAAATAAACACCTGGCTTTCAGATATGTTAAATATTACATCCTGCAACAGTGTCACAGGGTTTCAAATTTCAAAAACAGAGATACATTCAAGTTATTCTACAATATAGCTATTTATACTTTTAAAAATCTTCAAGTTTGTTTGAGACAGGGTCTCCTATTGTCCACGGCTATGGTCTGAAAGCTTCTGTGGATCCTCATGTCTCTGCTCCCATCTCCTTTCAGCAGCACTGGAATTACAGTGCCAGTTTTACTTGGGTTCTGAGAAGCCCAAGTCAAGTCCTCACACTATCACAGCAAGCATTTCACCCATGTAGCACTGCCCCAGCTTTATACACACACACACACACACACACACACACACACACACACACACACACACTCACCCCTGAGTATATGTATCTACAGAACATAAAACATAGCATCTCTTACTACTAGGGCTTACATTATAGATATGAATCCTTAATACTAGTTTTTGAAATCATAGTGCTTTTCTTATATTCATCACAAATTTTCTAAATCACTAGGAGGTGTATCGGTTCATATGTTTGATAATTAGAATTTACATCTTCTTATGCTTTTCCTGCAATGATATAAAACCAACAGTTTTTCTACTAATCAAACCTGTTTTAAGAAAGCATGCTCTTCTGTGAAGTATGACGTACAGTCCCTTCCAGAGTCATTCGGAATGATTAAGCTCTCACCTTCACAGCTGCTGGTGGGAGGTCAAACGGAATGCGCTGTCTGACTTTTGGGGGCAGCTGGCTTAAAACTTCGCTCTTTAATCTTCTGATCATTATGTCACTTAGTAGTTGGTGAAGTTCGCTAAGGTTTGATGCCCCTCTACAATCCCACTGACGCCTTCTACCAAAGTATCTGTTAAGACCAAGAGACAAACAGCAAAGCTAAATGTCACAGTAGAAAATCTAGGTATGCAGCACATCTTTCCTTTTAAATAATAAGGAGCAATGGCGCCCTTTGCTGATATTTCCAAATGAAAATCCGTTTCAGAAAGCTATTCTAAGGGGCCAGAAAGACGGTCAGTGGTTAAGAGAGTCCACTGAGCAGTGGACCAAAGTTTGTTCTGTAGCACTCACATTTGTAACTCAAATTCCAGGAGATCTGATGACCTTTGAGGGCAAACCACTCCTACCCAAAATTAAAAAAAATCTTACAAAACAAAACAAAATAAAATTCTAAGCAATGTATGTTGACGTACAATTGTAATCCCAGTAAGAAGGGACTAAGGCTGGAGGTCACTGGGCAGGCCTTCTACCAGCTGAGTTACACCCCAGCCTGATATACTTTCACAGCACTGAAATATTTTGCTGTCTTTAATGTTCTATACTCATACCTAACTTAAAGATTTGCATACACATTAAACTGAGAAAATGTCAGAAGGTGGTGGCACACGCCTTTATGCCTAGCACTTAGAAGACAAATACCCAAATACCGCCCTACCTTTTTTTTTGAAACAGAGTCTCATTCCCGGCTATCTTGGGGTTTAGGGTGTGGCTAAACACCCAGGTTACTTTTCTAGTTTTGTCCCCATCAAGTTGTCTGTTGACTTTCACTTGAGTGAAACTACACTACATGCTCATTTACGGCTGCCTTCCTTCACTAAACATTGGTGCTTGTTTTAACTCCTGTGTGCAACAGCATTAACTTATCTTTCGTCGCTTTTAACGGCTGAATAAAATTCCACTGTACAAATAGACCACAGCTGTTTTTAGCCATTTTCCCACCGACGGACATCAGGTTTGTTCCCAAGCTTTGTATTTTACAGATAAAGCTGCTCAGAGCATCCAGAAAAAGTCTATGCAAGTTACGCACTTCCTTTTCTCTTGGGTATAATAGCAACTGTTTATTCCTGAAGGAATTACTCAGGTTTTCAAAAGCAATTTACACACCTATCGACAGTGCGGGAAGGGCCTGAAAAAACACACCACCCGACAGCCACCAGCGGTGCACAGGAGTCACAGCTTCTGCACATGCTCACTAACTTGTCATCTGGCCCAGTACACAGCATCTCTCTTACTGCAACTCGGACTGATACAAAGCATTCTAAAATACATTTAGTGATAATTATGTGTCTTACATTGAGAAATGTCTATTCAAATCACTGGCCCATCTTAATTGAGTTGGTTTTAGTACTGAGTTCTAAGACCTATCCACATATTAAACACATTTTATCTATCAAGTATACAATTCACAAATATTTTTCCTTTTCTGAGCATAATCTTTTCAAGGTACACAAGCTGGCCTTAAACTTTAGAAGCTCCTGCCTCAGCCCCTAAGCCTAGGAGTATAAGCATGTACTACTAGGCCTAGCTCAATTTCTTGATGGCATCTCTTGTTAAGTACTAACGTTTAATTTTGTTAAGAGACTTCCTCCAGTTGCCCCTCCATTGCTCCTGACGTCAGCATTCTATCTAGGAAGGCCTTACTAAATTCAAGGTGTGACGATTTATCCTGATGCTCTCCTGTAAGGTCTTCTGTCTAGGTGCTGACTTGGCATTCAGTTCTTTGAAGTTTTGGGAGTGGACTTTTATATACAGTGTATACATCCTAGCTTTCAAATGGGTATTAGGTTGTTCCAGAACCACCACTTTGTAGTTGTAGGTTTGTTTGTTTTTTTAAGACAGGGTTTCTTTTTGTAGCCATGGGTGTCCTGGAAATTACTCTGTAGTCCAGGCTGGCCTTGAACTCACAGAGATCTGCCTGCTTCTGCCTCTAAGTGCTGGGATTAAAGGTGTGTACCACCACCACCCAGCTATGAATGTTTTTTGTTAAAAGTTCATTTATCATAAAAGGATCGGTTCCTTTCTGGGCTCTTTTGTTCTACTGGTATGGATATGTATTCGGTCTTAAACATGTTCTTACACTTACTTATTTTGTATATGATGCGGTACGTGTGGAAGTCAGACAGCCAGGTGTGAGTCACTTCTCTCCTTGCATCAGGCTCGGCTGCAAGTGCCTTCACCATATATACCAGTCATCTTGCCAGCCAAGACGATTAGATGGCTCTTCTTGTATATCTACCACATTGTCAGGATTTAACAGTACAAACGAGCCTTCTAGCCAATTTTTCTTTTTAATGTTTAAGTTATTCTACAGTGCACTCCTTTAACCCCAGCACTCAGAAGGCAGAGGCAGGCAGATCTCTGAGTCTGAGGCTAGAAAATCTACAAAGCAAATTTCAGGACAGCCAGGGGTATACAGAGAAGCCCTGTTTCAACAAAACAAAACAAAAATCCATACAAAATCAACTTGTAAAAGGACACCAGTCCCAGTGGTGAGGAGGCAGAGGCCAGACTTACTGCAATTGTGAGGTCACCTGGTCTACATAGTGAGTTTTACCCCAGTCAGGGAACAGACTCTGTATCAAAACTAAAACAAAGTAAAATATATAAGGCAATAGAGTCTGCAGGACATGACAACTGATTGAACGTTGGCAGTAAGGTATAGACGGAACTTAAAGTTTCAGGGTATTTTTATTTTTAATCATTTTGTTTATTTATTTCATGTGTGTGTGTGTGTGTGTGTGTGTGTGTGTGTATGTGTACATGGGGCACACATGGAAGTCAGAGGTCAATTTTGGGGAGTTGGTTCTCTCCTTCCATCTTCATGTGGGTTCTAGGAATCCACCTGCTGTGTGGCAAACACTTTACCTCCTGAGCCGTCTCTTAAGTCCCTAGGTGCATTTTTAAAAACCCAACTTGGAAACACTATTCTGTACCAAGTGCTTATCAATTTTAAAGAGTAGATGGTAGCCATCAACTTTCACTACCTAAGGGGAGTGAGCTCCTAGTTTATTGTCCTAAAATTTCATTCTTCCAGTACACACTTCTGGACTCCTGATCATCTCCTTGTTCCTATCACACCTTTGCTTATCATTTATTTTATGTTAAGAGACAATGTTAAGACATCTTGTGCTCCAGACTATCTGATTAGAGAATTTCTCGCCTTTCACTAAAGAAGCTTCTTTTTGCTGCAGAGACCATTATAGAAATCCAGAATTGGTGACAATGCAAAGAATAATTGACTGTGAGGTGCCTAGCCTCAACTGGTACATTTACAACACAACTCCCAAACCTGAGAGGGCTTGGCACAACTGTAACAGGTAGAGATTACAAACAGGTGTGTCTTCTATATATGACAAAGAAGCTATACCCATGAAATCTTAACAACATAGCTGCCTAAAGAAGACCTAAACAATGACAGCACCAACAGACATGCCAAAGTGGATGGGGAAATCTCATTGGGCCCCACCCTAGATAAAGAGCAATAGGCACCACGCAATGCTGAATAAGGGAGAGCTAGTCCTCCCCAGAGGAGCCCCTAAATGATTATTCAATGCATGCAAGCACCACTAAACAGACTCTGCAGCGGTACCTATGTATGTATTTGCTTATAGTCCACTGGTGCTCCTCCTCTCTCCTTCATATACATATGTGTAATAATAATCATTAGAAGAAAAACTCAACTCAGAATACTTTGTCAGTGTGGAAAACCATGACCCTGACTCCAAAAGCACTCTGGTGGCTAAGATGTAATACACATAGCTGTAATTTATTAACAACTGTTTGAACATATCTGTGAAGTACTGGCTGCCATCTGAACACTGTGGTATGCTGGCTGCCATCTGAACACAGCTGTGAAGTACCGGCTACCATGTGAACACAGCTATGGTATGCTGGCTGCCATCTGAACACAGCTGTGGAGTAGTAGCTACTATTTGAACACAGCTATGACTGGCTACCATCTAAACACAGCTGTGATATATTAGCTTCCAGATGAACTGCAATATCCGCAATTCTAAACACACCAACATCTCATCAATTTTATGATTTATGTTTAATTTTATTTATTTATACACTTGAGTGCATGCCTGTGTGATGGAAGAGGGTATTGGATCACATTATAGATGGTTGTGAGCCACCATGTGGTTGCTGGGAATTGAACTCAGGACCATCTGAAAGAGCAGACAGTGTTCTTAACCACTGAGCCATCTCCAGCCCTCTTCTTTAATTTTATATTCCTGGAATTTACAGGAGTTTAACTTCAGAAACTAACCTTTGGTGGCATATAAAATAATAGTACGTATGCCATAATTGATGAAGTTTTAGATTCCACTTAACCAGAAAAATAAACTTATTGCACTCATTTTAAATTGTGTCCTAATGTCTTTTCCTACTCACATACTGACATATTAAAGTACACGTTCACAGTTTCCTTAACTTTTCGTTCTCTCCGCATCATGCTGGATTCTTTCTTGACTTGAAATTACGCGTGGATGGATGTGGTTATGCCTATGGACTTCCCTCCAGTGTAGCAAGGGAGTGCTGTATGAGCATCATGAAGTGTGGACATCAGGACAGGGCTGAGGGACCCTGCTCTACAACACGACCACTTCCCCACTCGCAGCGGCTGTGCAGTGCACACGGAAGACACATGAGGGCCGAGGAGACAGTCTTAGGAAGTGTATAATCTAAAGAGAGAGAGTTCTACTGGACGTTCCAGGAAGAAACTATACTAGCTGTCTAGAAAGACGGGTCAGTAAAGTGCTGCCACACAAGCCTGAGGACTGGGGTTTGCTCCCCAGAACTCCCTGTTCTGATTCCACATATATAAGAATGTATAGTTTTGCTGTTCTCACATTTTAAGCCAAAATCGACAACCCAAGTAAGTTCCATGGCTGGACTAGTTTTTCTCTTGGCGACACAATGGCAAAAACCTAATCCCTTTAAAGCACGACCGGTCCTTACATATTTAGAGACTTATTCCCCTAAGGTCTTCCTTTCTCAAATTCCAATAAGCTTCCTAAGATTGAGCACTATGTGTCACTTGTCTTTGTGCCACTTGCAACTCTGAAA